CAACGGTATACTATTTTTGCATCTTCTACTGCCTTTATAACGGATTGTGTTCTGAAGAACTCTTCGATCGGGAATCCATCCTCATATCTCAGAATCTAAATGGTCAGAGTGCGATTTCAGAGGAGTTTCCTTCAGCAAACACTCAGATTGATACTCATTCAAACTCACTCACTCGATTCAAACAAACCTCTTTCGCTTATTTATTTATTCATTAGTACAAATATGTGTACATGGCGGACTTAATGCTAAAAGCATTCTCTCCCAGTCAACCATATTCTACATTGATCAATCTTTTCATACACGCTCGCCGGTTACGGGTACTTTAAATTTTGCATATAAATCGTGTACATTATAAATTCAAAATTACATACACCGACAATAAAATGTACGATACAAACGTTCATAGGACAAATTTATCTTGAAATCTAACGCAGCGCACACCACAATCCCATTAATATCGTATAATCCCCTGTATGTAGTGCATTGCGGTGCATTACGATAGCGAGGCTTCATTTGGTCGTATTGTAATTACCCCAATTGTTTGGTGTGGGAGCGATTGTCAAACATACATTATGGGCAATTTACATGAATCTCTTTCGTCCCATGTGCGCCTGGTATCTAAATTGTAAACTATTTAGTGAATAGTATCATTCGACGTTGGATATATCCTACCGTTAGTTAAAAACTGCTCAATTATAAAGAGTCATTTCTTCATTTCCATCCAGTGGCTACTGAAAATATCAATTTACTCTGTTATATTGTTGTGTACTTATTTTACTATAATTAAAAATGTTCTCACTGTCCAAACCTATGCTTATTGGGGGGAAAGGGATTGTTAGTAATGAGGTTTAACGGCCCCATTGCTAGTTCCATCAGTGGGCCGTCAGCTTGTTTGACGGCCCACCTTATGTAAAGTGGTAACCGTCGCCTATAGACATGGGCAGTACAATGGACATAACAGAGTACTGTTTCGCCCATGATACCCCCCATGCGTTGCCATTCCTGAAGACTCAGGTGTTATTCCTCTGTATCCAGTAAATTCACACCATATCCCACCCTTTAAATCGAAACACAGCCATGCAAACACAACTGCTTCACGGTTGAAACACGAATGGGACAGAGGTACGCAAGCAATGGACTTTTGTACAAAATCTCCCTCTGGTCACTAATGTCACTTTGAGAGTGTTCCTATGATATTTTCAACAGAACTTGATTACCTTTACATTAATTTCCATTGAAGCGTACTGTATAAGCCCTCACTGTGTTATGTCATAATGACAATTACATCTGTGTTGTCCACTAAGCCTCTGAATCCGCTGTCATTCCAGTCTGCTGAGTTAGGGCGCCGTAATGCCTGCACAGAAATGACAACTACTGGCTTGCAAAGATAAATAGAGAACTATTCAAATACAAATTTCATAATAACACAAATTTTAAACTATATTATATAGAATATCATATTAATTAAGAAAATAATAACAATAATAAAAACACCAATAATTGATACTTTTTAAAATAAATAATTAAGAAGATTTAAAATATATATGTATATATTTATATAAGTATGTATATGTAGTATATATTATTTGTTATAATAACTAGTCTTTTTTTTTATACAACTTAGAATGGCAAACAAGCTGACGGCCCACCTGATGGAAAGTGGTAACCGTCGCCTATAGACATGAGCAGTACCATGGACATAACAGAGTATACTGTTTCGCCCATGATACCCCCCATGCGTTGCCATTCCTGAGGACTCAGATGTTATTCCTGTGTACCCTGTAAATTTACGCCATATCCCACCATTCAAACCGAAACACAGCCATGCAAACACAACTGCTTCCCGGTTGAAACACGAATGGGACAGAGGTACACAAGCAATCGACTTTTGTACAGTCTCCCTATGGTAAAATGTATAATGTAATAGGATCGCCTTTTACGATATTCTAGGAATACGTATTCTATTTGTTACTACTTTTCTGCTCTTAGTTTCTGAATAAGTCATATAAATATGTATATATACTTTACATTAGTAATATATAATGTCAAGTGAAGGCAAATATAATGGACACATACAATGCAGTTTATTTTTATATATATATATATATATATATATATATATATATATATATATATATATATATATTTATATTGTAAATTTTTAATGAAAAGTTTCGCGACTGACTCTTGGCCACAGCAGAATATCAGTGTTTTGCTCTTTTAAGGGCAAAGCAATAAACTGAGCTGTGACCATTTTGTGTTACTATGGCACACGCTTGAAGGAATGGTAACAAAGGAGATTGTTAGATTATATATTTTGTTTTTGTATTTTTTTTTTATTTGTGCTTTTTTTATTTTTATTCTTTTGTCTCTTTTGCTGTGTATTACGTGTATGTTTTTTTTTTATTGTAATTTGTGTGCTGTAAGTAATGTAAATAAATTATCTATCTATCTATCTATATAATAATCATTAACATTAATAATATCTTTGAATTTAGAACACGAAATCATTAAATACTACATCTCATCGTTTCTTGTACAGTGCAGATAGTCCTCTACCTATACTTTTTTGCACTTGGCTAGCTAATCATTACCACTGAGTTTTATGATTAAAAACTATACCTTATCTTTACATAATACGGAATTTATCCAAGAAGATGAAAAGATAAAAACACATGCATCCATACATTGTATTGTATTATAAAATCTTTATTGTACATAATTTACATTGGACACATTAAAAGGTTTAATATACTTTTATTCGTTTATTTATTTATTCTTTATTGACAACATTACAAAAAAATGTCTGGTACAAAAGGCGTACTTAATACTATTATAGCATTCTCTCGCAGTCAACCTTTGGCGAAACAGAAATTTTATTATGCGGTGAAAAATTACAACACATGCAATGGAGAACTACTGCACACAGTAATGATGTGCCATAATCGTGAACTAAACACGGCGTGTTTATCCAATGATTATTGCATATCGAGTCATTGTAATAATTATAGGTAATTAATACATAATTTCCCATTTACATTACTAAATCGACACAAAGATGTTAATAAATCTAAGAGTTCCCTGCAAATAATAACACAGCTACCTCTCTTACCTTCAATATCCAACCTGAAGATCACTCGAGTCATACTAATGAGGCGCTTAATAGACAAGAATTCATTAATATAAAGTCGGGAAACAAATTAAATATTTACACAGACAATTAAAAGCTCCGCGGCGTCATAACTAAATTGATTTACTGCGCCGTACTCCCCGAGCACTTCGGATTTAAGCTTTTTCAATTAGCGACTCAGGAGGTCATTAAAATTTTCATTCAAAACAATTTAAATGTTTCCGTGTGGAGTGAACTGATCCTTAAGTTGGGGTCGCCAAGCTGCACACACTCTATGGACAAACGACGCGCTACTTTAAAATATAAAAAAAAAATATGCTTACCATTGGAATAACGGTCAACATGCCCATAGTTTGTCAAACATCTTTAAATTCATAACACTGACATAATTATAGATAGATAGATAGATACTCTTTATTGTTTCCTCCAAAAGATTACAATAGTAAACTTATTATAAATATATACAATTACAAGAAATAATCACAATAAATATAATTATATTAAATATAATAAGCAAAATATGTTACTAAACTTGTGTTTTGTAACTTGAAAACGGCTGGACGGAATTGGCATTTTTAATAAAATTTTATTATGAAAAAAAATTGAGAAATTGCCTGGAAAAAAACGTAAAAACCTCAGTCGATTCAAATATTTCAATCAAATATTAATGTCAGGTACATGATAGTTTTCAACGGAACGTCGTTTTTTTTTTTTTATTTGGTTAATTTAAAATAGTTACTTCCTTTTTAATATACACATTTTTTTTAAATGGATGATAATGGAATGGTAACCCCACCCGCGCTATCGGTATACACCGGCGGGGCACCAGTGAAGGATGATGGTGAAGATGAAGCAGGTCAGTTGGCCCATCGTGACGAATTCAACAAGAATTGTTCACGATGGTTTCCAGGGGGAACCACGTGTAGGTCGACCTAATAAGGTATATTGCTAGCAATGGGGCTGTCAGTTTGACAGCCCCATTGCTAACAATCCTTTTCCCCCTAAATATACACATATTTACATTAACATTTCTTATGAAGATTATTGTTAACATATCATCAATTAATATAACTTTTCCGATATAAATCTATGTAAAATCAAAAACATGGAAACCTGAGATGTAATCTGTGCCTCACCTAAGCCCGTTTAATTATCTATGCCGGCGGCCGAAAGGCGCTCCTCGACGGCTTACGGCATAAACACGCTGTAAGTGCCAGATTTGCCTAAATTATTCAGGGTATTACGCTCACCTTTGTTATATTTCGTAGCAAACTTTTCTCTCCTTTATATCGTCATTTGGAATGTTCTGCCTTAAAAAAAAATAAAAAAAGGAAATGCTTTGTTTCAAAAACATAGTAGCAGAATAATTATTAAACTAGTAACCTATCAGGTTTCACAGTGTTTTTTAATAAAATTCTTGTGTTATTCGCTGATAATGTAACTTCATATAGGTAAAAGAATATTTAAAATCGATTGAGTATTTTTAAGTTCATACAATACAAACAAAATATGAAATCGTTCCTCTTTATAATTATCTGAATTACTAAACTCACTTCCTGATTTATTCCTTGTAACACACTGTGCAATTATAATATCAAAATGCATTTTATCTTTACAATTTACTGAATTACATCGCTGAGACACATTAAGTTTAAGAAACACATTACGTTTAAGAAAGCAATTGCTTTCTTAAACGCAAACGGAAATAATCTCCAATCATAGACTATCCTAGTTACAGTTTTTACAAGATCATAGACTATTACACATATAGACATATAGAAACTGAGATCCTGCCCATAAGAAACAAAAATATAGGAATTTGAAAGTCGCTTCTTGTTGATACTAATACTTAGATGTTTTTTTGTTATAGACGGAGATCTGCTCAAGCGCGCTCACTGACGTCATCCATGCAGTCATCAATGGGACAGACGGTTGCCTCTTCTGTTTTGGACACGCAGGCCTTGGTTAGTACATCACTGGATCGAGCATAAATAATTATTGTAAATCAATTAATAACTGAACGAACTAAATTATTCGTTTAACAAAAACGTTCGACGAACTAACAAGTAAACCATGTAACAACGATCTATACAGATCTATATTAACAAATTTATAACTGTACGTAAACTTTTAAAAATATTTTTGAAGACATGCAAAGAAAATCAACAAAATTGTAAAATCATATTCCTAGAGATTTCATATTTTGTGAAAATTTAAATCCTGACCATGTCCAAATAAAAATGATTACCATATTGTGCAAAAATGTACTTCAAATATAATCAAAAATAAGAAAAACACCATTAATGAAGGCATTTTTACTTTTATATGATAAATTTAAGTCTTTCCGACTTAGGCAGTTTACTAACATTCGACTTGGTCTTATAATATATACCTACTCATACAATATATAATACCAAGTCACCCTTTTCTAATTTGCAAAATAAATGTTATTTTCTTTCCTAATTTCTCTATTGACATATTTATGCTTAATTCTTACATTTCGATTATAAAAATACCATATTCTCTCAAGACAACAACTGCGTCTGTGTATCAAACTTTCAATTAAGATCTCGCCACTCTTTCAGTCTCACCCATTTCGATGCAAATTCGCTCCCGAGAGTGCCCAATGAAAACTTCCACCATATTTTATAGTGTCTGCTTAACGTGGCTCATGATAAACTCATCTCCCGTAGGCTTTATTTAAACTTAACTTGTTTATTAACTCTAACTTGTTATAGAGTCTTGTTTTTTGTTAACTTTAAGTCAGAATTTAGTTTTGAAAATGGATTTTGAGAACATTGCGCTACCAATATTGTGGAAAGTAAATTAATCTAACTTTCTAGTATCATAATATGTAGTAAATTGTGTTATCGTAAACTGAAAGGATTTATTTGAAGTTTTCCAAATAAGATTTATGAAACTGATAATAATGTAACTTCGTAATATGATAAAACACTTACCGTAAGTAGGACGCAGTTTTTTTTTTATAATACTTAGAATGGCAAACAAATTGACGGCCCACCTGATGGAAAGTGATAACCGTCGCCTATAGACATGAGCAGTAATATGGACATAACAGAGTATACTGTTTCGCCCATGATACACCCTATGCGTTGCCATTCCTGAGGACTCAGGTATCATTCCTCTGTACCCAATAAACTCACACCATATCCCACCCTTCAAACCGAAACACAGCCATGCAAACACAACTGCTTCACGGTTGAAACACGAATGGGACAGAGGTACTTAAACAATCGACTTTTGTACAAAGTCTCCCTCTGGTAATTAAAATATTTAAAGTTTTATACTAATACCAAATTATTATCTGTACTAGCAATTTTGCAATTGGTCTAATATTAACAGCAATGCGTTTTGAAATTCTGTTTTAACTCAATGTTCTCAATACTATACATAGTCAAGCCCAATCTCCGGAGCGCCAAGTTGTTACTAATCCAGCAGATCGAGATAATAACTTTGACAAACAATAACCTAATCGGCTTATGTTTTCATCGTTCCATTTAATGTACAGACCAAAACAAGCAACTTGCTTAAGAGATTGCCAGTTATTATAGAGATTTGTTCTAAAAATGAATTTGTAAAATGTATTTTAAAGTAAACAATATAATACAAATATTGCAATATTGTCATTCAACCCAATAATAGATGTTTTCAGTATGTTCTATTCAGAGTTAACCTAAAATTTACGCAGTGTAGGATGACTCCCCATAAGATGGAGTGACGACCTCAAGTGCATTGCAGGTAGCCTGTAGATGCAGATAGTTCAGGACCGTTCCTTATGACAATCTATGGGGGAAGCCTATATCCAACAGTGAAATGATGATGATGGCCGTAAAATTTGTCTAAAACCAACGACTGATATAAAATTAATTACGGACCATAAACTATAAAAAATTTGTTAACATGCATTGAATATTAAAATATCATCCGTTAAGCAGCCGTGTTTGCATGGCTGTGTTTCGGTTTGAAGGGTGGGATATGGCGTGAATTTACTGGGTACAGAGGCATAACACCTGAGTCCTCAGGAATGACAACGCATGGGGGGTATCATGGGCGAAACAGTATGCTCTGTTATGTCCATGGTACTGCTCATGTCTATAGGCGACGGTTACCACTTTCCATCAGGTGGGCCGTCAGCTTGTTTGCACTTTCTAAGTTGTATAAAAAAAAATCATTTCTAAGCATTTAACGACGTTTACAAGATATTTTTACTAATTGTTAAAGTACAATAATTTTGTAGAAATGTGACCATATGTTTAAGTATATCTTCTGTTATTTACGGTAAATATTCGGTCACACTCATTTCTTGTAACTAACTATTTATGTTTTCAATTTAATTTCGAAATAGTTTTGAGTGTGAATATTTGTATAGAATTATGAATCTTGGGATTTTTTGTAGTTGAATGGATTTATAACGGTTTATTGTGACGTTGTTACATTCATTTGTCATAAAAAAATAAATAAAAGGAACAACGGGAACTCTTTAATATTTCCCTATAAAAATGAGACAATTTCATTTCAACATATATTTAACAAGATCAGTATAACAAAGAGTAACAATGGGCAGTCTTATTATTTCACAATAATTCTATATAGAGGAATAATTACAATTAAATTATAATTAAACGATATAAATTTTATTTAAAGGTGCAGTAAATTTTACCATCAGCCTCTTTATTAACTGGCATTATAAAGACTTCTTACCCTTACCTACCGGATTACGGGTTTAAATGCAAATTGAATGAGTTGCGTACTCGAACGAAACTTCAGGGAACGTGGTTGAAATCTCAGTAAAACCAAGCTTAGTGCTACATACCGTTTTATTCTAGGCACAGATGATTCTGCCGCTGAATAATTTAAACCTGTTTTCAATTGCTACCACATTTGTAATGTTCAAAGTGTGTGTGTTCAACAGGTGATCGCTTACTTTAGCAAATTAAATAAAAGTTTTAACTTCTTTGCATGATATATATATATATATTCTTTATTGCACTTGTAAATTACATTGTTAATGCATTTATAAATATTGTGAGCAAGGGTGGACTTATCTCTGACAGAGATCTCTTCCAGTCAACCCAATGCAATTAGAAAGCATGTTGTTAGCGGGCAGCTGAAGTGCTACAACTATTAATATTTAGTGTACATGAACAAATATACAGTTAAATAAAATATTAAGATACATAATAAAATATTACATAAATACATATACTATAAATAAATATAATACCTACCTACTTAAACAATGGATGTTAAAATAAATGAATATACTACCTAGAATAGAAATTAAGTTCAATGATTTTAAGGTTTGACAGTTCGATTATAAAAATTACAGTATCCATAACTTGTAGCTTTGCCCGTGTGTTATGTATTATTGTTAGTATGATCTATTTATATTAGATTTGTAATGTTAAATAAGATAAATAAAGAAACTTAACGAAATTGAAATTGAATGAACACACAAAGAGCGGTTTCAGAGGAGCTCCCTTCCACAAACACTTAGGTTTTATTTTGTTTTTTTTTTTATACAACTTAGAATGGCAAACAAGCTGACGGCCCACCTGATGGAAAGTGGTAACCGTCGCCTATAGACATGAGCAGTACCATGGACATAACAGAGTATACTGTTTCGTCCATGATGCCCCCCATGCGTTGCCATTCCTGAGGACTCAGGTGTTATTCCTCTGTACCCTGTAAATTCAGGTTGTGAAATGATCTTCTTGCCGAGACTTTCCCTAGAAAGAAGAAGGTTCTTCAAAAAGGGCGTATTAAAGTTTCTTAAGGGTCAGCAACCTGGTGTTACAGACGTCCATAGGCTACGGTAAAACCATCAGACGGACCGTATGATTGTTTGCCATCATAGTTGTATAAAAAAAAACCAGGAAGATATAACAAAATAGAAGCACATAGCAATCTGTAGTTTCTGCCTACTTCAAACTGAAGAAGGCCTGAAACTATGACAATATAGGTATAATATTCGTCTCTTGCGACAGCCACGAGAAAGAAAATGGTGGTCCATTCTATGCCGGGACCACACAGCAAATCATAAAAATAAATTTATATATATGTATATATAACTTTAACACCATTTTGTTCTATAGGCATCTGTTTAAAAACTAAATTAAGTAAATTATTTTCAGGTAAATCCTACACAATGCTGGGGCGACCGGACTCAACGACGTCTTTAGGGGCCATCCCATGTGCCATCACGTGGCTCTTCCGTGGCATAGCGGAGCAGCGACACAAGTGTGGCACTCGCTTCTCAGTGAGGGTCTCCGCTGTGGAGCTCTGCACCAACACCAACCAAATCAGAGATCTACTGGCGCCGTATCAAAATGGTACATTGATATCGTTTTCTAACTATAATAATTCTGGCATGTCCTTGAGTAATTTCATTTTTTAAATATCTTTGCTACTTTAATGTTCTTTTTTTTTTAATACAACTTAGAATGACAAACAAGCTGACGGTCCACCTGATGGAAAGTGATAACCGTCGCCTATAGACATGAGTAGTACCATGGACATACTGTTTTGCCCATGATACTCCCCATGTGTTGCCATTCCTGAGAACTCAGGTGTTATTCCTCTGTACCCAGTAAATTCACACCATATCCCACCCTTCAAACCGAAACACAGCCATGCAAACAAAACTGCTTCACAGTTGAAACACGAATGGGACAGAGATACCCAAGCAATCGACTTTTGTACAAAGTCTCCCTCTGGTAAAAACTGGTTCTAAAACTAGTAAATTAAATATTTTATTTCTATTTTTTATTACAAAAAAAAACAACTATTTATTATTCAACATTTTAATTTATTTGCAATCTGTGTAAGTCTCATATTATTTTTGCCGTAACTGAAGTCGTTTTTATAATAGAAAAATCTTAAATTATTTCTTAACTGAATTTAATTACTAACACCTGAATCCTCAGGAATGGCAACGCATGGGGGGTATCATGGGCGAAACAGTATACTCTGTTATGTCCATGGTACTGCTTATGTCTATAGGCAACGGTTACCACTTTCCATCAAGTGGGCCGTCAGCTTGTTTGCCATTCTAAGTTGTATAAAAAAAATACTATCTAAAAATTTTAGTGAGTGTGAGCGAAAGAGAGATTATGTTTTATTTATAAAACACTTTTTACATTTGGATAGTACTAAGTAACTATGTTTCATAAACAGACAACTAAAGTGAATACAAGAAGACAAGAAGCCTTGAATACCGTTTTAAAAAAAAAATTAAAATCCCTAACTTTATTGTTATAATTATTTTTTATCAACAGACACAGAACAATCACCTGGAGTATATCTCCGAGATGACCCACTCTTCGGCACTCATCTGCAGAACCAGTCAGAACTTCGCGTGCACAGTGCTGAGAAGGCGGCTTTTTACCTAGATGCTGCGTTATCTACCAGAGGAACAAGAGAAGAAGGAAAGGACAGTCATTTACTATACACATTACATGTGTATCAGTACAGCGTCGGTGGTAAAGGAGCAGGTGAGTCAGGACAAAATAGTTCAGAATATCTTTACTAATACCTGAAAATGGCCGTTTAGGAGTAGAAACATATGCATTAAATTATTTATGTGACTGATAAATCAATGCTTTTCATGCAAATCAAAGCTGTGTACTAAGTTTAGTTTCTAAGTAATCGACCATCCAGGTCTAAGGACTATACTGTATCTGTTGATAAACTTAGTGATAACAAACAGTCCTACTAAATACAGCTGCTAAATTTCCTTTTAGTGTAATAGTAACATTACTATTATTTATTAATATGACATCAACTTTATTTCAGTTGCTGGAGGTCGAAGCCGTTTACACCTAATTGACCTTGGAAACTCTGAAAGAGGAAAAACCAATGGAGGAATACCATTATCAGGATTAGGCAATATTCTGCTTGCAATATTCAATGGACAGAGGCATCTACCTTACAGAGATCATAATCTTACTCATGTCTTAAAAGAATGCCTTGGTTCTCTCACTTGTCACACTGCCATGATAGTGCACGTGTCTCCAAATGTCCAAAATTACTCTGATACTCTAACAACTCTTCAATTAGCCTCGAGAATACATAGGTTACGCCGACGAAAAGTTAAATATTCTGCAAATAATAACGCCGGTTCTGGAGGTAGTTCTGGTGAAGATGCTTCGAAGCCAAGCAGTAGTGAACCTGACCCATCAAGTAGTGATTTATCTGCAGATACTGTCATATACGTTGGTCCAATGGATGATGCGACTGATGGAGAACATCCACCAGTTTACATACCCCACATAAACTCTGGTGATAATAGATGTGTTTTAAGTAAAGCATTAAGAGGATCAGTGGCAGAACAGAAACATAAATCGTCTCTGTCTAAAGTAGTTGAAGAAAAAAGCCCAGTTCACAAATTACATTCATCGCCTAAATCGTCTCCTTTAAAAACTTCAATACAGCCGACAAATCAAACCCCAAAAAGTTCTCCTGTTCATTCAGTGACATCGAAATCTACGCCTATAAAGAAACCTTGTCCAAAACAATTCCAAGAAGATACAAAAAGTAATAGCGATGAACAATGGATCGATGGACCCCGCATATCAAAATCAAAGCTGGTTGAAGCTAGGCATATTATAAAAGAAACACAAAGTAAAAAACGGGAAACGTGGATTGATGGTCCGATGCAAGAAAGTAAATTAGCACATCAGTTTGAATCTGCGCCTGTTCTACCGAATTCTGTGCCCCTTCAAATAGGTATACTTGGGGCGCACGGTAGTGAAAATGTCGGGTACGGATACATGGATAATCACAAAAAGAATATGATAAGAAAATGGGTAGAGAATCAAACTTCGCAAATACATAAATCAAGACATAGTTCACCAAGTCACAAAATACAATCTGGTCATAAAGATCCTGGAGTTAGGACACATGACGATGTGGAAACACCTCACAGAATGGAACTTTTAGTAAGAGATGCAAGACGAGTTCATGTAGAAGAATCTACTATAAGAACTGGTTTAAAATCTGGTTCCAAAGGTATGACAATTGAAGAAGAAAATGTAGGACCACCTGATATTTCTAAAAAATGTAGTAGTTCAAAACAATCATCTAAAAATGAAGTTGATGAAGATGATGATAGTGAAGAATTAGCTGAAATTCCTCCTGCTCTTCCTCTTATACAACCTAGTAGTTTAAGTAGTAGAGAAGTATCAATGGAGAGCTTAGATAATAAGTATAAAGAACGAATGAGAATGGATGATGAAATAGTTTCTAATCGTAGCAGAGAAATTGATCATCGTGGTATAAGTAAAGGTCACGTTGATGATGAAGACGAAATTTTAGAAATTATTGAAGTCGAAGAACCTTTGGAACCAGTACCAATGCAAGATTGCTGTCTACAAGTGACTGAAGAAGACATCGCTTTTTGCATGGGTTTATCTGAAAATCCTCTCCCTGAAGTAGACCAAGAAGATTCTGAAGATCATCCGCTTAGAATTTTGAGCCAAGAAAATCTAACTGTAGCGTCTACGTTTACCGATACATTGTCTTTATACAGTGAAGTTGAACGTCAAATAAGAAAAGAAGCTATCCTTAGACAAACATTTGGGTATTATGCAGAAAATTATACTTGTGGCCATCCTCTTATTGATTTAAATCCTCACGAGAGCTTACCTTCGTCAAGATCTAGGATTGATGAAATCTTAGGCTTAACGGAATTATACGGTTCTCGGCATTTGCTACATGATAATGACGTAGTTGTTTCAAGAATTAATCCTCACTTTCAATCCTTGTCCCTTTCAAATGTTCGAGACACAGAGGAGTATCATGGTGATGGTTCTGTGTATAGCGAGCCTGCATATAGACCGAGTGATAAAATATGTGATAGTTGTAAACGGACTATATCTAGGCCAGGTAGTGCAGTAGGAGATTGTGCATATCAAGACTTAGAAACAGCCAATAATGATTCTTACGGCCCTTTTGAGAGATATCGAGGGAACGACATATCAGATGCTCGTCTAGCATCGCTAAGACATCCAGACGGGGCATCTGATCCTAACCTACGTGAAGAAAGAAGAGTACCAGGTAATGGCGCACCTTCAGTAGATACATTTAGAGAATTAAAATCCAACTTACATCTTGAAGTATCACCTCCTGTAGTTACATCTGAACCACGTATGGATAAGAACGAAAAAGGAGATAAAAGTGTCGCAAGAGTAGTTGCTAGTTCCAAACCCGATGGCTATGATAGCGGTCATGAGTCGACACCAAGAACAGGTAAACATAGTCCGGCAGCAACATCGAGACGGGCGGAATCTGGATACGACTCAGTACCAAGAGATTCTGATGCATCTTCATTAGATTCGTATCCTACAAGGCGTGCAGCTGTAGCGCGAGCTCACGCGAAAAAGCACACAACAGCTAAATACAAGCAACACAGTGATCGCTCCTTCTGTTCTTGGCTTCGAAATCCTTTCACCTGTAAATACGCTGATACAGACCCAGAAATTAGTGACTTTTAACGTGAAGAGATTGTAAAATATAATAATCACATAATATTAAATCCTTAATATCATAAGCTACGTTACCGAATTTAATCTGGAGACTGCTTTTGTACTCTAGATGTACTCGTATTTTAAGCTTGGCACTAATCCGATGAGGTTACCACTGTATTTTTCTAAATCTGAAGCTTCTATGCTCTAAAAAGTATAAGATAAACTTAGCGAAAGTTAGATAGTTGTAACACTGTTGTAAATACAGACGTATAATGCAACGAATGCCATACCGTTAGAGTTAGTACTTCCGCTCATTTTGTACTTTTATACTATCATCATCGACTGTCTTTACTTTAATAAAAGGATGTTAGATTTCCATTGTTGATATAGCTTTTGTACGATTTTCAAAAGCAATTAAAAGTCTTCCTCGGTCTTCCCCGTCTACTACTTCGCCATATCCTGGAATATACACTATATTTTCATATCCACTTCATTGATAACGTCTATTTGGATTATTTATTTCTTATCTTCAAAATTAATAAATTCATTAAAAGTTTCAACTATGTAGTATTGTGAATTGAAAAGCATGCTCTTTACTTATGACACTTCTCAGAAGATATGGATTAAAAATATTTGATTTAAGAATTAAAGAAACACTCTCATGGTGACACTCTAAATATTGGAATTAGATATAAAAAAATATAATTTGTTTCAACAACTATAGATCTAAGACTGTTGTCTGGTTGGCCATGTCATAGCTTTAATATTTTGATATTGTGAATTTCCATCGGTATGTCCGTCTGTACATTTGTATTTGAATAATTAACACTTGATTGCAATCATTATGGCTTTATGGAATGTTACTGATGAAGTTATCGCTTTATATTGTCAATGTTTTGTTATTGTAAGAATACTATTATAAATATATATCCTAAATTCTACTATGCGTTTGTATTAGTTCACATAAAATTGTTCAATTTCAAAATGTGTTTTATTGATTGTAAATTCCCTATACATCGCCTGAGATGATTTTAGATAACTACAACACCACGAGTGTCACGTGCATTGCTAACTCTAAACAAACTCTAAACAAAGGGTGTTATTCCTCTGTACCCTGTAAATTCACGCCATATCCCACCCTCCAAACCGAAACACAGCCATGCAAACACAACTGCTTCACGGTTGAAACACGAATGAGACAGTGGTACCCAAGCAAACGACTTTTGTACAAAGTCTCCCTCTGTTTGATTGTTGTTGACATATTCAAACAAACTCTTTCAATCTACAAAACTACAAGAAACATAACCATACATATAAATATACATAGATCTAACTCTGATATTTACAAGACGGCCCACGCTGTAACTGAATTTCCAGACCATTATCTGAATTGAACCACTGTAATCTACGCGAAACGTTTTATAACGAAAGATACATATAACATTAAGTATTATAGGAAAACCCATGAATAAATAAGTAGAAACTGGGAAGTTAGCATCACCCTAGAGGTGCAATCTCAGAATCTTGGGATATAAACTTTTTTCCCCATGTAAAGTAAAATAACTTCGGCCCGTTAAGAGGGGCGCTATTATCTTTCATTTCTCTTGTAATTTCACATTCTCCGTGCACACCCCACGAAAATCAAGCTATCAAAAGCGTTTACCCTCTTTTTTTTGGGGGGTGACAACTTTTTCAACGAAAATCTCCCAATAATTTGTTAAAGTGGCAGATGCTTAGCTCGTAACGCTTATCGAGTGGTGAAAAGATTTCCCTTTCGCGTATATATATTGCCATGGAGGTCACTGTTAGATATATTTCAAATACAATTACATGTTCTGAACTGGTATTCGATTCCTTGGTTTCTTTGTTATGAAAAGATAAAATCTTTGAGTCAATCTCTTTTTAACGGGGGGAAAGGGATTGTTAGTAATGGAATTTGACAGCCCCATTGCTAGCAATATGCCTTATTAGGTCGACCTCCACGTGGTTCCCCCTGGAAACCATCGTGAACAATTCTTGTTGAATTCGTCACGATGGGCTATCTGACCTACTTCATCCTCACCTATCATCCTTCACTGGTGCCCTGCCGGTGTATACCGATAGCGCGGGTAGGGTTACCATACTATTATCATCCATAAAAAAAAACTCTCTTTTTAACAAGAAAAACAAAATGAATCGAATGAAGACATAGCCAGTTTTGTGTGCAAAAACCCTCAGTATAGTAGACACAATTTGTGTAATATTGTACAACGAACAGATAGAAGAAAAAACTTCTGCCTGATGTATATCGTTGTCATACATCAAGCATGATAAGGTAACGTCGACATAATGGGAGGTAAATTATTATAGATTGCATTAATCCCCATATTTTAAAAATCATAGAGAAAAATAAAACTGTATTTTTATGATATTTAGAATGGCATGTATGCATTACCACTTTCCATAAGGTGGGCCGACAGCTTACAAGCTGACGGCCCACCTTATGGAAAGTGGTAACCGTCACCTATAGACATGAACATTACCATGGACATAACAAAATAGAGTACTGTGAGGACCTGCTCACAGGAAATATTTGATAAGAGATATTTTTTATTTGTCGTATGGTTTCAGCATAGAATGGGCCACCCCTTCCCGTGGATATCAGAAAAGGCGACTATAGGAACTTTATGGTCGAAGAATAGGTAGCAGCGTCCTTGTTAAAATATCAGGAAAACCTAACTGCGATTACCAACATGCTTGTCAAACGTGGCAACTACTGGCAAAACCCCTCCTTATAGGAGAAGCCTATGTTCAGCAGTGGAAAGTTAATAGTTGATACGACATGATGACAGCTTTATGGTCCCGGTATAAAATGGACCACCCGTTCCTTTCCCGTGGATATAATAAGAGGCGACTAAAAGGCCTTAATGGTTGAGAAATGGGCTGCAGCGTCTCATTTAAGACATTACCAAAGCCTAATTGCTCTTGCCAACTCGCCTGTCAAACGTACTAGCTACTGGCAAAACCCACTTATTAACACGACAAAAAACGTGGTCGTCGAAATATCGGCTATAAAGAAATAAAAATTGTTACTCGCTTTAAATCTTGATAAGCGTATTTGAAACATGTGTTGACAACTAGAAAGTTAATTTTAAACTAAAATAATTCTATTTAAATAACTAGATGTATTTTAATATTCTCGCTTCATACTTAGTCACTGCCAGTAATCGATAGAATAAAAGATTTATAGAAAATAGATTAAATGGAAGGAATCGAACCCAGAAAAGGGCTTGTTTGTTGTGTCACCGCGGCAAAGGCACGTCAAATCGGATTGAAACACTATTGCGACCCTTACGTATTGGTTTGGTTATTATTTCCGTAGTTTTCTTTGCGTATCACGTTTCCAATGTTTCACTCGTCTCAACAAAATGTTGATCTATAGACAGGGACCTTATGCTTCGGTAATAAGGTCGCTTTTAACTTGTTGCCCAATATTGGCTACGAGTCAGTAGGTGTTTTGTCTTCCCGTCACGTCCCAGGTTCGACTCCCGGCTCAAGCGTGTCTGCCGTGTTCCCTGTATTATTTTTATCCGCATTTTGTACTTATTGCTCCGGCATTATGTGACGTGGCGGCATTATTAAATGTGGATGTCCGTTTAGAGGTAGTTATGCGATCTCTATCGGACTAAGCCTGATATATGGGACGTATTAATTGGATTTAGTCAGCCATTTTGTTTGTTTAGGTTGAGCAAAGATGTGTTTATAACCTCGTAATGTTGTCACGGTTCGAATTATGTTCTATCTTAGCCCTACAGAGCTTTCATATAGAGTTAAAATAGAATTTACGTACATTAAGTATGTAAATTATATCCGTAGGCAAGTCTAAATTATTTGCAACGCTCTAAGTTAATTTATTTATTTTATTTTTATATTATTAAAATAGCAGACGTGATAGAAAGTGCTAATAATTGTATATCGACTTTAACTGTACCATGGACTTCACAGAATATACTGTGACATCCATAATACCCTTCATGCGTTGCCATTCCTGAGGACTATGATGTTACACCTTCATAACCTTTCACTGCCATATTCTCTTCACCCCATCACTTCCATATTCACACACTTTAAACTTAAACGCAGTCATGCAAACACAGCAGAACCAGGGTGGGAGAGATTGTTAGTAATGCGTACTACCAGTCCCATTGCTAGCAATATACTCTGTCAGGTCGATCTCCACGTGATATTCCCTGGAAACTATCGTGCTAAATTCCAAGTGTATTTATCAGGATGGGCTAACTGACTTGCTTTCATCCTCATCAGTCATCTTTCACTGGTGCCCCGGCAGCGTATACCGTTAGCGCAGGCGGGGTTACCATACCATTATCATCCATTAAAAAAATGCACACAGAGAGACAGCAGAATTAATGGAATTGAAATATTTAAGCATATTTTTTTAAAAAAATTTTTATACAATTTAGAATGACAAACAAGCTGACGGCCCACCTAATGGAAAGTGGTAACCGTCGCCTATAGACATGAGCAGTACCATGGACATAACAGAGTATACTGTTTCGCCCATGATACCCCCCATGCGTTGTCAATATAATACAATAAAAATGGTATAAGTCCGCAATTGTATATTAAATCTTTTAATGTATTCAGTTTGAATTATGTACAATAAAGATTTTACAATACGATACAATACAAAAAAAGTACAAAAAAATTTTATAATAAAAATAAACCAGTCTAACTAAAAATGTTAACTAGTGCGTCCCGGCCAAGCTCTCCAAGTTACGTATTACTGGAAACCTCATTTAACTCCCGTGAGTTTAATCTAGATTAACTTTAAGACAAAAAAAAGAACAAGATCGAGTGTTCCCCGTTATTGTTAGGTGTTTAATTCCCAAAGTTCGTGTAAAAATTAATAAATACTCGCCGAGAAAGTTGGCAAATGAATCCGACCGTAGCGGATTCATTATTCACTAAGAGTTTGCGGATTTCATAATGTTTAGATTGCGCCGTTTATAAAATTGTAAATAAAGTTTTCATTCCTGAGGACTCAGGTGTTATTCCTCTGTACCCTGTAAATTCACGCCATATCCCACCCTTCAGACCGAAACACAGCCATGCAAACACAACTGCTTCACGGTTGAAACACGAATGGGACAGAGGTACCCAAGCAATCGACTTTTGTACAGTCTCCCTCTGGTAAATTATTACTAATATTATAAATGAGAGTATGTATTTGTTCATTTTTCTGTCAGTCTGTCTATTTAATTCTTTATTTTAAAATACTTATTAAGATTACAGTGTACATAACTAACATATATTTCATTTTGTTTTAATAACAGTAATATTACAGTAAATTTGTATGTCAGTTTAAATTACCAACTAACTCTCTATCAATGGCAAACACCATTAACAAACTAAATTATTCGGAATGAGGGCAGTCGGCTCTGACCCCCCTCAGAATGAAGTACCCAGCAAAATGTGAGCATAGTTCCTCTGACTCCAAATATGATACAAATGCATCAAGAAGCATATTCTTAAATTATATAGATATATTGTGTATTGCATGTGGTTCCGACATAGAATGGGCCACCCCTTCCTTTCCCGTGGGTGTCGTAAGAGCCGACTAAGGGAACTTAATTGTCGAGGTATGGCCAGCAGCATCTCTCATAAAACGTCACCAAATTCTAAATGAAGTTGCCAAACCGGTTGCCAAAAGTGGCAACTAGTGGCAAAACTCTCCAGCAGGCCTATGTTTAGCAGTGGAGAATTAACGACTGACATTATTATGATGATGATATAGACAGTGCTTCATCAAAAAGAGGTCCACTTTTTTTTAATGGGTGACAATGGAATGGTTACCCCGCCTGTGCTATCAGTATACGCTGGCGGGGCACCAGTGAGGGATGATAGATGAGCATGAAGGCAGGCCAGTCGGCTCGTCGTGAAGAGTTCAACAAGAATTAACCACGATGGTTTCGCGGGAAAACCGCGTGGAGGTCGACCTAATAAG